GATGGCGGAGAGGCCGACGTTTAACCTGACATGTCGCAGGCTTTCTCAGGACAGTCACGACACCTCACTGCTCTGACGAAGCCGGCGAAACGTCGGCCTCTCAGCCAACGCCGCTGCGTCTCCCGAATAGCCAAGAATTTAACGTAAGTCAGTAAGGTCTAAATAAAGTGTAACGAGCGGTTTTTGTTTTTGTTGGCAGTTGCGAATCCCGAGCGCCATGTGGCCTTCGTGAGGGCGCGCCGTCCTCGCCATGGGGTCTTCGGAGGACGCTGCCCGCGGCGTCATGTCCTCGCCCTCGCCCTCGTCCTCTTCGTACGCGTGCTTCGGCGGAGGCGCTGGCGCGCGCGGCCTGCCGTCCAAGGACCACCACCACCACCACCACGCGCACCACTCGCACGCGCACCACCTGCCCGACACCAACAACAACAACAGCGCGGGCGGTGGCGCGGGCGCGGGAGGGGGAGGGGGAGGGGACGTGCTGGGCGGGCTGGCGGCGCTCGAGGACCTGGCGGCGCCCTCGCCCGACTACGCGCTCGGGGCGGACCCCTTTGCAGCCGCCGCGCTCGAGCACATCTCGCCCACGCTCGGGCTGGGTGAGCCCCTCTAAAGTCACTTGTTCACTCACTAATCCACTTCTTTACTCACTGCTTTACTCACTAATCCACTTGTTCACTCACTAATCCACTTGTTCACTCACTAATCCACTTGTTCACTCACTAATCCACTTGTTCACTCATTCATCCACTTGTTCACTCATTTTTCCACTTGTTCACTCATTTTTCCACTTGTTCACTCATGTTTCCACTTGTTCACTCCGTATTCACTCACTAATGCATTCGTTCACTTACTCCTTCACTCACTAATGTACTTGTTTACTCACACCTTCACTCACTAATCCACTTGTTCACTCATTTACTCATTCACAAACCCAATTGTTTACTTATTGACCAACTCATTTTGTCGTTCCATCCAACTCATCCACTCGTTCAAAATGCTCAATCTCTTGCTCCCTTACACTTATAACTCACCCGTCCACTAGATCGCTTACATATTCACTTACTCACTAAATCACTCGCTTCCTCACTCACGTACGCGTCCATCCGCTTATTCATTCGTTCTCCTATTCACTCAGTTACTTCACACACTCGTTTACTTCACCCACTTGTTTGTTTATGCGTTCAATAATTATTTACAAATAGTACCGTAAAATGTTTTATTATATTACGAGGAAAGAGAATATTGCCTAATGAGCCATTATTGATTACCATTCGGCTATTGTAGTAACATTTTATGATATAAATATAGAGCAACATTTTATCCACTTTGATACATTGGAATGCACTATAATTTTTGCATAAAGAGAAGTATGTAAAAAGCGATATGCACATTGAAGATGACATCAGTTAATGCAGACCATGGATGAGTTGTAATATTAGTTACATTACGAAAATAATCTATGTTGTTACTCCCTTACTTTCACTCGCTCACTCGCTGGCTCGCTCGCTCGCTCACTCACTCAACTAATCGCTCACTTATGCGGTCGCTCGCACATTCACTCGCTCGCTTCGCCTATCACTCGCTCGCTTCGCCTATCACTCGCTCACGTATTCACTCGCTCACGTATTCACTCGCTCACGTATTCACTCGCTCACGTATTCACTCGCTCACTCATTAATTGATAACATTGAGATCAGTTTCGTTAACGTGACTTTAGATAAGGAAAGTGGTTACAAAAGCGGCGCGTTGCAGGGCTGGGCTTCGCGGGCGACGTGCTGCCGCCCTTCTCCCCGGTGGCGCCCGACGCCCCCGCCCCGGCCCTCAAGGGCGGCCGCAGCCCCCGGCGGATCGGGCGGGCCTCCAACGCCTTCGAGCCCTACCACCACCACCATCACCATCACCACCCGCACCACCCGGCGGAGCCCCTGGCGGGGTACGACTTCCTGATGGAGGCGGCGGCGGTGGCGGTGGCGGCGGACGGAGGCGCCGACCCCAACAACAACAGCGGCGACAAACCCTGGTGAGCACCCCTGCCGCGCCCACTGCTGCGCTCTGCGGAAGCGGACTCCTAAACCACAGGTCACGGGTTCAAACCCTCTAGAAACAATGGGTTTTTAAGGGCGAAACAAATTATTCGAACGCTGCTCTTCGGAGGCGAAGTAAAGCCGGCGGTCCCATGATGTAGATTTCTCACATAAAAAATAAAAATAAATATCAAGCCTCTGAGCTAAATTCAAATCCCTTGTTTCGTAACCTCAGTAAAACCTACTTCCTACGGCAGGTGATGAAAGGAGAATACAGGTTGCGTGATCAGTCGGAATAGCAGTCTATAAATGAAGTATCAATGAATTGGATTGAAAAATTATTATGATGTCATTTGTGATGACATTTGACTTACAAGACAGTGTGCTGGATTTCCATTCATGTATTTCTCCCTAGAAAATCACTGCCCTACACGGGATACTTTCTAATCTCCCAATTGGCCTTCCGCCTCAACATATAATAAAAATTGCAGGGAATAAATTCGTTGCAACAGTATCAGTGACATGGTGTGTACGGGGCATTGATTCGAAAAATGTTCAGACTTCCTGAGTTCATATGTACATTTTATAGTGTTTGAATATTCAAATAAAAATATTTCTACTTTACTTACTTTTATTTTAATAATATTACGCTACGCTACATATTTTGCATAAAAGATTTTCAGTTTCAAAATCTATACCGCAAATTATGCAATTCTGTCCCTGGCAGGTATCAGCTGTTGACTGTTTCATCCAATCGGGAGATTGAACGACACCAAAGAAGGGTCACTATGGTGACGTTCAAGTTCCCGATTGGATGAAACTGCCAACTGCTGATATCGGCCAGGGGCAGAGTTTGAGAAATCGCATTATAGCGAGTTAACTTTTCGTATTTTGTCTGTTGCAGCGTCGCCACTCCTACTACGGACCCCATCAAATCGGAACCTCCTCCTACCGCCGAACCCCCTCCTCCTCCAGCCCCACCCCCGCGCTCCCAAGCCGCCGCGGAAGAACGCCGCCAAGTAACTCCCTGCGGCCGCGCGCCGCGCCACGCGTGTCGGAGGTGGAGGCGGCGGCGGTGGGCGCGCGGAGGACACGAGAGGCGCGGGCCGCCGTGCCGCCGCCGCGGCCGCACCGCGCCGCCTCCGCCGCCAGCGCTCGGCCGCAACGTCGGAGGCGAGGGTGGGCGCGGCGGGGCGGAGGGCGCGCGGTCAGAGGCACCGCGCGCCCACGCGCGAGCCAAACCACGCCCCCCGCCGCTCAGCAAGTACCTGCCGCAAGACGGCCAACGCGCGGGAGAGGGACCGCATGCGGGAGATCAACGCCGCCTTCGAGCTGCTGCGAAGGGCAGTGCCGGTAAGATCATTTGCACTTGGTTCTAGCGCTAGAGTAAGAGCTGCATGTCGCCCAGCCTCGCCTTTCGTGCTCTATTGTTCACTTTTTGGCGGAGCAGCCAGGACTCTGACGTGTGCAAAAACACAGCATCTGCACGCACTCGTACGTTACGAACACTGGTAGTTTTTGGTCCTCCGGGCCGGATATTTTTTTATCTGCTCTGCCCACCCCGGTCAGCATGGACTGACGACGGCTAGACTCACTTCTAGTGCTACTCCTGGAGCTGAACACATGGGAATGTTGAAAGAGCCATTCAAAATAATCGATACAGGATGCTCCGCGCAGGTTTTCTCCTACTCAGTAACGCTCGACCACACACTACTCATCTCAACAGATTCGCTGCGGAGTTCTCTCATCCACCCTACAGTCCGGACCCCCACTGATTTTCATCTTGTCTTACAACTCACGAAATTTCTTCCCGGTCAGCAAAACGCGTATCACAATGACCCAGAGTTGGAAGTGGTTGACGTCTACGACATAGGAATACAAATATTGATCCTACGTTATAATAAATGACTCAATTTAGGATTCTTGTAAAAATTGTGCAGCATTCTCTGCATTTCCTTCAATAGTATTTCCACGAAATGGTGTTTTCTTTGTTTTTAATCTACGGAAACATATTTGTTGGATGCGCATCGTATTTGAGATATAGATAAAAGATTACAAACTTAAAATAGCGTACTAACTAATAATTATCATTACCGTAAATACTCCAGTCTAGCACCAAAGCAGTTAGGCATAAAAGAAGCCAGATTCTCTGAATGCACTCAACTCGTGGCTCAGAGCTTACCTTACACCAAGGAGGTTCGGATACGATTCCCGGACATTCTCATGTGAAATTTGTTAAAAAACAGACAACAAACTTGACTGCATCACAGGGGCTAGTTCAAGCCCTGCGAAGTGTTCTAAACCCTACTACTATCCTAGTTTCTTCTCAATTTAAAAAAGAATCCTAGGCTGGTATCAACTGCTATGAATATCCTCGTAGGGGGAGGATCGCAGGCGATCTGTGTTACTACCACCACTGCCACTTCCACTTCTACTTCCTCCACCACCACCACTTCCACTACCACTTCCACCACAACTTCCACCACCACTTCCACCACCACTTCCACCACCACTTCCACCACCACTTCCACCACCACTTCCACAACCACTTCCACAACCACTTCCACAACCACTTCCACCACCACTTCCACCACCACTTCCACTACCACTTCCACTACCACTTCCACTACCACTATCACTTCCACTTCCAGTACCACAACTACTGTCTAATGCGTGTTGGTTGACGTGTGGGCAGGTGCAGTCCCCGGCGCTGTCCGCCCCGTCCTCCCCTCTGCCGCCACACGCCGGCGGCGCCGCCTCCCCCTGCCCCGGCGACGGCAGCGCCCCTGGCGGCGAGAAGCTCACCAAGATCACCACGCTGCGCCTGGCCATGCGGTACATCGCGGCGCTCAGCCAGCTGCTGCAGTCCACCGATCACCAGTCGGTGACGACCCCGCAGCAGCAGCAGCCACTGCCACAACCCCAGCCACAACCACCGCCGCCGCCGCCTCCCCCGCAGCAACCAGCGCACGCGCCGTCCTACCACATGTCTCCGCACGACTTGTTCTGCCTGCCCGACGCCGCCGCCCCCCTGGGCCCGCAGTTCGCGCCGCCGCCCCCGCCGCCGACCGCAGCGCTGCTCCCGGGCGCCCTCATGGAGTCGCTGGGCGCGACGGGCTTCTCGCCCAACGACTCGGGCCACCCCTTCACGCCGCCCGAGCTGGAGGACCTCTTCTCGTGACAGCGACCCCTGTGCGCGGGCTTGGAACCTTCGGCGCAGACGGTTGCCACACTTACGAGGGCGCTACGGAGCTGTGCTTTGGCGGTGTACTCCATCTGAAGCAGGGGCTCTGGGGGGGGGACTTCGAGACTTCTGCGAAATTCACAAGTCCGTCTCTGAACTGAAGATTTTCTGCCAGCACGGCAGCCCCGTTCCTCAAATACAGACAATTACTTTCGTCTACATCGCAACGACGGTAACAACATTTACAGCAATCCTATCTCACATTTCTAGCACCATTCATTGAACCAAATCCACACTCCCTCAATACGTTGTATTAAATTCATAAACTACAAAGTTAGGTATCATGGGATTATTTCATTTCCTACTAATTTATCTCTAAATCAATCTATTTTTTAGATTTGGTCAAAATTTCACATCTACAGAAATGCAGGATTCGTTGCCTAGATACCATCCACGAAGATCTCCGCGTTTCCGGATTAACTCGTGTCCAACGGGATTGTACTTTGAAGATACCGTCGCGTCATGGAAAGTGGCAACCGCTATGGTGTTATGTCGGAGACATTCTCAGTCCACCTCCGAAATAATTAGCCACCGATCATTTTCTTCTGGTTCGGCAGCATACACGAGCACTGCTCCTTTCGTTTTGCACGTCCTCATACTTCTTACGTTCCCTTGAACCAAACGGGAAAGTCAAAAGCTTTCTGCCAAGTTTTGCTCAATTCTTAAATTACAACGTAACTTTTCGTCGTACTATTTTATTTTACGTTTATTAGTTTCCAAATTAACCATTTTTTCTGATTCGGGTCAACCCCTAACTTCTCCAGAAATGAAGGATTCGTTTAGGACAAATCAATCCAGGAAGGAGACCATGCCCTCTCTCCAGTTTTCGAGACGAACTCGCGACATACGACGTCCTTGGACGGTGAATCTCGCCCAATGCAGAATGGCAAACCGCTTTTAAGCGATGTTTAGAGCCTTTGCCAAATGATTTTTCAGAGGGTGTCACTAAGTTTTGGTACGGTGACCTGAAATGAGGACTGGTTCTCAGATGAGTACAATCCCTTTCGTCTACTTGGAAACTAAATAGAGAATTATCAATTACCAATGGCAAGGAAGCACCGATTTTCAGTCAATTCCAAAATGACTTCCTGTTTACTTTTCTATTTCTTATGCGAATAACTGCAAATTAATCCTTTCATTGATTAGGGCCATCACTTCACATCTTCAGAAAAGCGCAAATTATTCTCTTGAGAATCACCCACGGGGAAGACTGTGCGTTTTAGTTTAAAGTCACCCACGTCCTACAACAATGTGCATTCATATATGACGATCGTCTCAAGCGTAGTTTCATTCTTGAGTAATCGGTCATGTTCGAAGATGTACACAGAATGTGTCTGAAGTAAACGACGGCATTTTAAGAAATTTTATTATATTTGTACAACCAACTTTCCTATCTTCATTCTTGTATGCATTCTGAAAGATGCGTAATGTAGCCTGAACCATCGCTTTTGTTTCACCTAACTGCGACTCTTACTATTTATGGTATGAACTTTTGTGTTACGTCTGGATTCATTGGCTGATGTAAGTACATTTCTTATTGAATTTTCGTTTCTAGTAAGAAACGGGGTTCGGTTTCACAGTCCAGGGAATGCAACGCAGACAACGTGCAAAAATTCTACTCTCACATTTTACCTAATTTTTCAGCCCCTCTGTTGACGTAGTAATCGTTGTTCTAAGCTCATCCGGATAAAAATACTCACCATTTCCCGGACTATTATCTGGTTGTCATTCTTCACCATCTATTCAGTTAAGAAATGGTGATCAGGATTTCGTTAGGTTTGCTGTCTGGACAATTTTATGCACGCTGAATGCACGCTGACTTTGCGATTTCTTCTAGCCTAAGCGTTATAGTGACAGGACATATTACAAGACCTTTTTTATCTTTCAGGTGAATTCCAAATCAACCACATTAAATGAGACCTATTTCTTTCTTCTCCTAGCATAAACCACATTGATGAAAATGTTTTTACTCAATCAATACACACAGTCAATGTAAAAAAATATTTTAAACGGAAAAATTATTTTCGTACATGTAAGGGAACGAATAATATGTATTAATCAAAATACAATTAGGGCATACGATAAAATATGTCCTGTAGAACGATTTAGAAATAAGAAACTGTAAATATAATATGAACTGATATTATGGGTTGTGTGGAGACAACAAGACTTTCCATGATCATGTTCCTGTGTATTACATAAAATACTACAATACATTTTAAGGTGCCATACATATCAACTAGAACAGAAATTAGTGCTTGAATGGAGAAAGAAGACTATTCAGAGTAATTAGGAGATTGGTACGAAGAAAGAAGCCGATGAATACAAATTCCCTTGTTAGATATATTAGTGCTACAAGCATATCCTGTTTTCGAAGAAAAAAATGTTAATGAAGCACATAAATAAACACTAATATAAATGAAAACGGATGTGCCCACATATCAATGTACGTATAGGGTTAGTGTAAATCAGAGAATTAGAGCATTTTGTTGTGTACAAACATTATGTTACAGAATTCCCCGTATATTAAGAATGTACAACCTAAGTAATGACAAAAAGAAAAAAGTCGTTTCTTGATTTAAGAGACAAAAAGAGAGTTGTTATTAATATTAAGTTGCAAAAATTATATGTTTAAAAATCAAAAATGGAAAAATATTATTTCCTTTGTGAAAGGAATACGTTACTATATATAAAAAGATATATTTAATAAATGGACGTTTTTCGTCCCTAAATGTTTGCGTATGCATGACTGCACGGCTGTCAGACTACTCTTTGTATCCTATATGTTAATTATCTGATAATTGGTACTAACACGGGTGTCTATTTAATTTATTAATTATTATTGCAATCACTTTATAGAGTATGTCAGAGCAGACTACCTCCAAAACTACAGCTCACAAATGTTGAGAGAAACATTTGTTAAAGTACATATGAAAGCATACATATAAATATAGATTGTATGTATAAGGTTCCTCACCATTCACTCACAAAGTATCTTTGTAAGAATTTTGAAATATATAAATGTATTCTTGTATGTCTTTATACGTCATTTGGAACTTTCCAATTTCCTTTCACCAATCTTCCAGTTCTGATGAGAGATTCGAGATTGCTGGCAAACAAATCATTCAATAATAGTTTCCAATTTTTGGTCATCTTAAAAACAATTCTGTTCCCTTCGTGACATGAGTGCCATAGTTTTATTAGCTCAGTGTAATTCTCCCGGCAGGTATGTTCATGTTAAACTTTTAACTGTGCAAGTTCATAAAAAAATATATGATAAATATATTACAATTTCATTCTCGGGCACATTCTCGGGCACATTAAGTTAGATGAAAACATATTATTAATGATTGATTGTTAGTGATTCCGGACACGTCAACTGCGAAGATCATTAGTCCCGTAAGTGTGGTGCATGCGTTTTCATCGGGAAGAAGCGGTGAATTTCCTCCACTGTATGGCAAGGCCGGCGCCAACCTACCGTCGGCTAGAGGGGTTTTCCCAAACCAGGTATCCCCCACCAGCGGGGCACCGCACCATCCGGGACAAGCTTTAAGCTCCCGACCGGTCTCTCGGTGTATGTGCTTATGTAGTGCGTGTTAGTGTGTGCATAAGGGCTGAGGATAAAACAAGGAAGAGGAAGGAAAGATCGCGCGCGGTATGTGTCCCGTTTGTTATGGTACTGCTCCGGCATTCGCCTGGTGTTAGAGAAACCACGGAAAACTAACGATCAGAGCAGCTGACCGCAAGAATTGCCTCCAGGCAGCGACCGAATTCCACCTAGCTGAGAAGCTAGTGGCGAAAATCGTGCCGCCGTCGGGACTCTAACCTAGGACTTGCCCGTTAGAGGGACTGCAGTCACATCAGCTGATGAACTGAGCTTCCTCTCCCGGTACGTATGACTAAAATACCTACTTCACTGCCAAACAAATAGATTTAACAATGGTAAGTCTCGTTAATCACGTCGGAACTATTCATAAGAGGGAGAGAGAGAGAGAGAGGGGGGGAACGGAGGGAAATGAGAGAGAGGTAAGGAGGGAGGGAGGGAGAGCAAGAGACAGTGAGAGTGAGAGTGTAGCAATTCACTGATGTTCACTGATGTACTCATAGGTGCACTGACGCCATCATATTCATGTTTCTTTAGTTCTTCCTGATTACCTTAAAGAAAACCAGATAATAATAGTGCCAAATGATTTGTCTTGTCGGAAGGAACCAAATTAGCTGTAGATACCTTCTGTTGGTGCTGTAAGTCACCCCAAACATGTTTTAGTTGCTTAAAAAATAAAATATTTTTAGAGACATCTTACGAGTACCTCAAGAAAACCATGAACAGTTTCTCACCAGTAGATTGATTCGCATCCAAAGATACTTAATTTGTCTCTGTTGGTGGACTGGAAACGAATCATTTCTAACCGAGAAAGAGTGACTGACGAACGCTGGTTCTCGACTCCTTTTGCGATGGTGTAACGGTTAGCGTATCGGACTGTTATACCCAACTTCAAACCCGATCGAAGCCGTGGATTTTACGGGCGAAAAAATCCTTCGCACGCCTTCCTTCGGAGGGGAAGTAAAGCCGGCTGCCCAATGTTAGTAGATTTACTTCCATGTAAAAGATTCTCAAGCGTGTATGACGCCTCTGAGCTAAATTCAAATAGCCTGTTTCTCGCCTAAGAAAACCCTCCTTTCTCTGCTAGTTGGTTGAAGGAGCGTAGCGAAATTTGCGTGGTCAGACTGAAGAGCAGACCTCATGGCCTGAGTCTCACCACGTAAATTAAGGCATCAATTTAATTATTACACGGATACCTTATCCGTCCCTAGCCATATATGTCAACCTTCCCCTTCCACTAAATGAAGAATGTCTTCCTCTAATGATTATGTACCATTGCTATTTCTCCCCGTAGACCAGGATACGTTCTGGTCTTTGCAGGACAGTGGCGATTGCTTGGCTTTGCTTCAAACTGTATGAAGAATGGTAAGATGAACATGTGCTATTAACGATGGTCAGAGATAAATATAAAAAATATTGTTGCTTCATATGGAACGTACGGTCGAGAGAAAAGTCAACCATGCCGCAACTAAAAAGTGAGAAATTGAGAATGCCGTTCATGGGACTCGAATTGGCAACCTTCAGGTGAGTGAATTTAGAGAAGACATCAACCCTGCGTCATTGTACGTGCGCTTTAGTTTGTCTTTTTCTGAACAGAAAATCGATTACAAAAAGGGATCTTTGTTTTTGCGCATTATTGTTTCGGTATCGGAAAAGCAAGAGCTTTTTCTGCAAGAAAGATCAGCAAGCAAGAAAGAAAATATTTACACCGCGATAATCAAAAAGCGGAGAAGTTCGATATTCGCATCGCGTTTCAATAACGCTGCCCGAGAGTCGTGGGTTGCATTTGTCATAAATTCTTAGATTCGGTTTTCCAACATATACTTCGTATTTTTTAAAATTAAAGTACAATTTGTCAAGTCCCCGGAAAGTTTTCTTTCGTTAGATACCTTATTTATAATGATAGCGTGCGTGTGCGAGCCACAATACTAATCTATACTACAGAAATAACAGAGGAGACGATTTTTATTCTCTTGGAGAAACTCGTGTTGCGTGAACATGCCTCCTAATAACACGGAAAAGAAAAAAATAAAGAACGAAAGGGTGCTGAATTACGAAGGAAATATGAAAAAATATTTATGTAGAAATACTCATCTTAACTATTAATGTCACAAAATGTATTCATATGTTGCAGATATCATTCTTAAATCCATAAAAGAAAATATTTGTAAAAACTCACTCTAACGTTTCATTTTCTTAGAAGTTTCTCCACGTCGGCCACAACGAAACTGAAACAAAACAAATAATTTTAAAAACATGCTACCACAGAATATCTGTCTATGAAATAATCATGAAATAGTGTAGATCGTTTCTTTAGAATCGCTATATCGAATTATATTATAACATTTAAAAAAATGAATAACGAATTTTATGAGGTGAAATTGACATTAATGTGCTCATTATTTTGGCGATTTCGTCTACCCCTCCCTTTAGGTGGTGCTATTTCACAACATGCATTCTCGCATTATTTGTAACTATTGCAATTTTTGAAAATTTACAAGGCCCAATTAAAATAAGACCAGTTCCATTTGTTACGTGTCCTTCGCTCTATCTGAGGATAAATTCGACAAAAATTTCAACAGTAATTTTTTTAAATACTACTTTTTTCTTTAATATATTATTTATAAATGAAATTTTCAACTGTAGCTTAAATGAACATTGACATACGATAACGTTTTCGTTTTAACGAAAAATGTAATGTAAAAACCACACGTTCTCGAAAAAAACCAATTGGTGTTACAAATTAATTGGAATTAATCGTAATCCCTCATTTTCTTCAATTTTTAAATTTAATAAAAGAAGGTGATCGAAAAAAATTCCAGACTTGAAAATAATGACCTCCCTTCCACACACGGTTGAAGACAAAAAACCAATATCGAAGGACACCATTTCGATTAAAATTACAACATGTATTGACACAAGATACAATCAGGTTGAAACTCAAACTAACTATTTTCAGACGTCCCACGATTACCACGTCAACGCACCACAGTTGAAGGGAATGTAGTGTATAATTTTGCCACCAGATAGCGACGAGTCCGCCTACGCACCATAGCTTCAACTTACTAGTGTTTCAATTAAGATAGACATTGTCGAGAGGCCGACACAAGAAACGGGTTCTCTGTTAATTTAGAGGGAGGCACATTTTTCACAGGGAGCTTTTAAAAAACGTGAGCGGAGGCTGAATGCTAAAGCGACCTCACTTGGAATAATCAGCAGGAACGCGTGGTAAGTACCACATCAAACCACCAAATCCATTATTTATGGTGTCGATGTTCGATATTCCGTCGGGGAGTAGTGATCTAAATTGGCCCATAAAAACAAATAAAACGGAATAAATTTACCGCCTTCCTACGCCTAGATGGAAAACAACCTGTTCCGGGGGTATTTATACAAATTGTTCATTTATTAAACGCATTACTTCGGTAACACCCATCATTCCAGTTGCAAGGTCGTAAATAATAGGAGGACATTTTGTGACAAGAGGACAATAATTAAGTAAGAGAAATGAAAAATAAAACTCGAGCAATTATAGAAATACGAACAAAGATATACATTTAATTCAATTATGCACAGAGAGAATTGATCAATAAGGTAACCATTTGTTTGTAACACTGCCTACATATCGACCATTTATTTGGCCTCCGACAAAACTAAAAGATACATGAAATTACTTAAAAGGAATTAGAATAATACCGAAAAAAACAAAGCAGACAATTTCCTGCATATTATTTTAGTTTGCAAACGCACATCACAGGGAATTATATTTTATTGAGAGACAAGATGAAGTAGAGTTTTTTTAAACCTCGCTTTTCAGAAAAAGTGTAATACAAAAAAAAACATCAAAACACAAGTTTGCATCAGATAAGTTTTAATAACATGGGCTTCGCTCAACTTCGCATTCAGGTGGAACAGTGATAAGAGCAAAATACCGAGACCCTACGAAATATTTTAAGCAAAAAACAACAACAAAACATTGCTTGTAAGTGACTGCTTTTGTACAGTTACAGTAGTGAACTGTATCTCCTACTTATTTTTCACAATTTCTTGAACTATTTTTTTCTATAACTTTTGTGCCGCAGGAAAGAGGAAGGTGAAGTTGGGAACACATTTCTTACATCTTGACAAAATAACTCTTAGACCTGTTTAACAACTTATCAGTTTAACTTTAAATTACATTAAGGCAATATTCTTAACATTACAGGTGACGTTGCTTAAGTTAATTGTTACCCTCGTCGCTGTAATTACTCAACAATAAGCAAAATATTTGTCATACAAGAAAGAAACGTCTGGAGCAACATTTTATTGACCATTAATTGCAAATAATTGTAATAAAAGTGAGAACGAAAAATAGAAGTATGCATCAAGGTTAAAAAGTCAACCTTGCAGGATTCATGTTTTACCATTAACTTCACTTTGCTTCAGTTGGAAAGCACTCCCAAAAAATATTTTTAGCTGTTGGTACATAAACAACCACTTTTTATTCTTCTTTCCTTTCTACATCAGAATATTATCGGTGTATCAACGTACTAATAGTATCACACAAGAGTAAAATCGAATCATTCGAAGGACTGCTAATTGATTCGCGTTCTAACGCAATTCCCCGAACCAAACATAAATGGTTTCACGTCATTTATTGTGTTGTGTTACGCAGACCCGATTCCGCTGCTACGTGTCCAGCGTATTGAGGGTATCAACATCACCACAGGCTGAGTAGGGAAAAGATGATGGAAAGAGAATTACACTTCCCCCACCGCAGTGTTGTGTCAAACAAAAAGACGAACCAGTGGGAACGCGCAGGGAACCGAAGCAGTCCCAGTGTTGTTATTTAAAAAAATTAGATTTCACAGCAAAAGGTGAATGACATCATTTATAGATCTACAAGTGAATGAAGCATGCAATTTTACCAAGACAAGATAATAAATAAGGTTGAATAATGGCTCAGAGAGTTGGTATATTATCTCAAAATATCGAGCAGTAAATATACAGGCCAAATGTTAGATACGTATGGGATCACTGTAGAAAATGTAGTTCTACATATTCAATGTTCGGAAAATAGAAACCACCCAAAACCGTATTAAGCCTCCAATGTTAATTAACTGAAAGAGGTTTACAAATTCTGGAACTATTCTCTACTAACTACTAACACAATAATTAAAGGCGTTTCTGCGAATATAATGGAATGTTTTATATTTACCAAGATCTGTACATGTTCATTGAAAGGAAGTAGGGCATAGAGATTCTACTTATTCACTATGACTTCTAAAGGAAATGCACCTCATATAATTATAATCACCGATTCGTTTTTATTTTGTGAAAGTACGCCTGTATCATGCGGTTGCTGGACATCTCTTTGTGATATTATTAAGCTTTGCATTTGAAAACAGGGAATGTTGTAGCTTAAAACAAATATCGACTTAATATCGTCTATTTGCTGATTCTAATCTCACACACACGCACACTTGCTCACGATAGACCAATGTCTTTTTGTCACAACGAAACGAATCTTCAAACCAATCGGAACAGATAAGCCTTCATTCTCTTAATTGAAAGGGTTTATTAAAATTTAGTATTAATACTATAAAACTAGTTAACATTTTGCAAGCAAAAAGATTTTTGGGGTCTCCTACCTTTCATTTGAAGCAAAAGTCACGAAATTTGGTTGAGTAGAGAGCCTAAAAATCGTTCTAAACGGAACTTTTGGTGTTTTCAATATAAATATATTCTAAATGTCACAGGATTTACTGAAAATAAGGACTATATCAAACTTATAAAAACACTTTCTTGTGTTCAAGAAAAAAAAAAGAAATTATATTTAGCCATTTCCAAATAATCTTGAAAATGTCACTGGGACTTCATATAAAGGGCTCTCAAATATGAAAATGCCTTAATGATACTTGGAACGGCATAACTATATCTTATTCTTGAAGTATTTACTACGATCAGCTCAAAAGTTTCTAAGATGACACTTATGCGTGACATATTCATCCAGACATGTATCACAATTTTCGGATAGAAAATAGCTTGTATCTCGTCACCAGCTACATCACTTTCAACCATTTTTCAAATAGCGTTAATAACCCTGAATTCAGACCTGCGTGCAGAGTTACGACTCAAGAGAACCTTGAGAAAGAAACACTGAATTTACGAAAGAAAATTTCGGATCGTATTGTTAATGTGATTCCAATACTTTTCTTCCCTACAATACAGTACAGGGAGGAAAAGCAAAATATACCGGTTTACACACTTCGATACAGGGGCAAAAGCGTGACTAGTACATAATCATTATTGAGGTCACTAGTGCATAAGGCTAAACATCTTGCTCTTTTCTCAGCCCGCATGCTTCTTTGACTGATTTTAAGTGGCTCAAACTAGTGGTAAACTCCTTACCAAGGAAAAATACATTCAAAATCACATTAAGCTGAAAGTTTTCCAAAGATTTCAGCTTTTGGTACTTATTCAGATCACAGAAATGGATTACAAAAGAGGATTACTTTTTACAAAAAGGCGAGGGCAAAGAGAGAATACGGAGAAAATTATCGCGAAGAGATACTCGCCCACTGCAAGGACCACAGTGATAGACTGGGATTTGAACCCAGGCCCTTAAGGGAAAAACACTATCATTACAAATCGCCTTCAGGAGAATAAGAAGAGAGGAGAGGAAGAAGACAAAATGAACAGAGAGATTGTGGCGAGAGAGAGAGAGAGAGATTGGGAGAGAGAGAGTGAGCTGGAAGAATCAACACTTCACACGCGCGTCAGAAGCGAAGAGGTAAAATTGTCACGAAACCTCAACATTTATGGCCTTCCAAGACCTAGTAGTCAAAGATAGAAGAAACAGGGGAAGGCGGAGGAAGGAAGAGTAAGAATAGAATGGGGGAGAATATTGGAGAGGGAAAGAGGGAAGAGGAAGGAAAGGAAAGAGGGGAGAGAAACGGAAAAAGAAGAAATGAGGGTAAAAAGATAAGAGAAAAGACATCAGGGAAAGAAGGCAAATAATAGAGTTAAAAGGGAAGAGGAAAATGTGAAAAAAGAAAAGAGAGAAAAGAAGAAAAGTAAAGAAGAAAAAGAGAGGAAAGAAATGTGAACAGGAAAAAGAGAGGACTTAAATTAGAGATAGGAAAAGTGAACAGTGCAAAAGAGAAGAGAGGAAAAGAAAAGACAGTGAACGGGGTAATACGAAGAGAAAAGCGGAAACGGGAAGGGGGGAAAGAGAGAAAAGGGAAAA